GACATGTTAGATCGTTCATGGTTATATTAGTCGTTGTGCTAAGGCCTCCAAATAAGTTGTCCATTACCATTTTCTTTGGTATCGGCGGGTAATCTTCTCAATATCTGTCGACAGTATTCAAAATGGTGTCTTCATTTGGTACTACACTCAGCTTGTGGAACAATCTGTGAATGATATACTAGTACAATACAATTTGCCTATTATATTGCGCCCTCAACGACGAAGCGTGTAAGTGACGTAAAGAGGGCGTTGACATCATTGATGTAATTTTGTTTGTTATTGATGCTTTCAGAGATTTGTTTTCTGAATGTCGAACGACTATAAGAAAAGTGTCTTAACGATGAAAATTTGAGGCAGTTTATTACTTAACAATATATTGAACTAAAAGCGTTGAATGTCATATAGATATTCGACGTCACTAGATTGTTTTATCAGTAGGAAGCTATGATTGCGTGTAGTGCAAATAATCATGTGAATAGCTTACCTTGTCGGCATACAGTGCTAAACTCACTAACATAGCTTTAACAATCACTTTAACATCACTCGTGCATGGCCGGAAGTTCAGTTTTTTAGGTTGTTCACGTACAACATAAGCCTTTATTTTCTGAAATAAAAAATACTTTAATTTTTAGGTGTGAGTAAAATACATGCGAATGTTATTCAATTATGTATATGTCAGTGAATAATTTTACTTCCACCAGGTACGGTCATTCCTTTCAGAAAATGAACCGATTGGTTCACAATGTTTTTTGGGCGCCTTGCAAAACTTACTAGCAACACAAATCTCCTCCATTGCCGGTGCGCCAATGTGTTTCAACCACACGCCCTGTAATTACCGTTAAGGGAAGTATATACAAACCGGAATGCCTGGATATAGCCAGCCGAGGCGAGGTGGAATACACAGACTGGAAATCAAGGCGAGCGCCTTGCGTAATTAACAAGATGCATTACTAGAGATGACATTTATTTTATTTTTCCAATCTTAGAAAAATAGAAGCTTGGACTAAAACGCAAAAAAGTCACTATTTACAGAAAATTATAGATATGAAATGAACAAACAAAGCGCAGTTAATCAGAGACTGTGAAATCAATCTGTGTTCGTCGAGATGGTGAGAACACAACGTTGACTGAAGGACGGTTCTAATATAAAATTAATCAATTAAAAAGAAGGCACTACATAGAGCTTATTTGAATACATATTCCTCGACAGGAAACACTTTTTTCCAGAACTAAGTATTATTTATTGAAATACTTGAATAAACGGACATCTTTTGGAAGGGGAGAGGGTCCAAAGAACAGAACATTAATGTGTCTACTGGTGGTAGTACATTGATCACTTTGTACGAAGACTCATCATGATCTTCTATAATAAATAGAAAACAGAGGTGATCGCTAATGATAGAAAATGAGACTCTGTGCTGGTATTCTACCGGAAACAATTATTTTATTTAGACGAGGCCATCGAAACTGATAACTGCGCCTTGGGCTAATTACTATTCTAATTTTGCGAAACCATTCAAAGAATAAACAATAGAGAGATACACCATCCAAATGATTGCTGATGGCGATATTTCCTCCGTGATATTGAAATGGCAAATCTTTGATATAAAAATACACACCACAGGGTGCACCACAGGGTTCAATTTTAGGATCATTATAATTATTTCTTGGGAACAGTTCCATTGATATGTATGCTGTTCATCAAACTCGTCTGAACCAAGTATCAATGAAGTAGCAAAGTGTATTAATGGTGATGTTTGGCCAATTTTGCGTTGGATTGATTGTAATTACATGTAAATCAAAATCTATGCTCGTTGGATCCCATTAAAGGTTGAATAATTATGTAGTTAACTTTAATGGTGAAATAATCAAAACAGTCAGGTTCGAAAAGTCGCTTAAAGTGGTCATAGATAAAACTCTGCTATTATAATGGGACAATCATGTACATATGTAAAAAGCTTAGCCAAAGAATTTGTGTTCTTGTGAGAGTTCGCAGGTTTTACCTACTTCCATCAGGAGAACATTGTGATATCTTTTATTCCGTATGATAACTTCCGCCAATCGTCGTTAGAGCTGTTCAAATGACATGGTTTCTTGCCTATTGACTACAGAATGTCATACATACTTCCTAGGTATCTTTATGTACATAGTAGTCAACGGCTTGGTGCCTTTATATTTAAGAGAGATGTTTAATCCTATATACCAAACTCATAAGTATAGTACAAGTATCCTCTTAAAAATAATTTATGCATTTCAAATGGAAAACATCAGAGGACGTTTCAGTATGGAAGGGTTTCTTTGTGTGAAATTTGTTGTAAATGGCTCAGGCCTATAGTGTGTATATTGTATTTCCTTCTACAAAGCGCCCAATGAAAATTACTTTATTGTATTTTGGCTTACCCTCTTTAAGTAAAATAAAATAAAATAAAATAAAATAAAATAAAATAAAATAAAATAAAATAAAATAAAATAAAATAAAATAAAATAAAATAAAATAAAATAAAATAAAATAAAATAAAATAAAATAAAATAAAATAAAATAAAATAAAATAAAATAAAATAAGGGTGCCGAATGGTTCGAAGAAGTTGAGAACAAGTATAGTTTTGTGATATTCAAATGCGAGTAATACATGTTTGTTAAAACTTCCTAGTCACAATTGATATTTTATTGAATTAATTATTGCAATTGTAGCATTTAGCAAAATTTTGAGCTAAAATATTTAAATTTGAATACTATGTGAATACTACACTGCGACGTTCTGGTCGCAGTTCCAGTTTTTGCGATCCCATCTTCGCTTCCTAGGTGTGGCATATCACATGACTGTTCTATTCCTGAAACGATCTTGTTTGCGATTAAAACATTTCTTATTTGTCGAGAAGAAAGCGTCATCTATATCATCGTCTGCTAGCAGCTACGTATGGACATAATGACACTGTTTGTTCAATTCTGGTTATCATAAAAGATAATTATTGTTCTTGACTACTAAAGGCCCGAGGAATGAACATATTTTAATGTTTATTATCAAATGAAGCGCCACCAGCGTTCATGGACATATTCTGGCTGCATACAGTCTTATTTCTCGCAATATTGTTTCATGTTGTGCCATAGATCATAGGTCATTAACCCAGATAATTGTATTTTAAAATTACTAGAACGAAAATACTTTTACTGTGAACAAGATAACAATAGCACACGTGTCTATTCCTTGCATCATTGATGTGTTAAAATATAAAAAATATATATTCTAAAATGTGTACGTTATTACTTAGCAACTAAAACCCCGAAACATACACATTGGAAGAATATTACTAAAGATATATGAGTTTCTGAGGTTTTAGTTGCTAGGTAACTTTGAGGTTATGATATTACCTTCTCGCTCATGCTAGTTAACATCGATGGATATCTCCATATTGCCTGCTGGGTAGTTCAATTGAATAGTCTGTAATTAATTCATCTTAAACATAGATGTATAAGCAGTGAACTAAATTATAGTTTAAACTATGACCTATGAGTTTGAAAGAATATGTGTGTCACGAGAGGGCGTGTAATTATGTATATTCTTTTAGTTCTTCAAGTAAGGACACATTTGATTGATATTAATGGATACCTGCTTGGTGGATGATTACGCAGGGAAGAGTTATAGAGCAGTTGTTACCATAATTCAATAGCTGGATGTTGGCAAATTCTGTACAATTTCACTGACAAATAATATAATATTCATTATCATATAATATTAAACATCGATATGATAATATTGATGACCTTTACGGATATATTTGAGTGCTGTATCGACATAGGTTTTCTTCGTATTCAGTTTCGTATTCCAATATTGTTTCCGTGTTTACTTCTATCAGGATCACACCTGAAATATTTTAACACGGAATGATACGTCTGTTACGTATATGGTTAGCTAATGCAATACTGCCCTCAGTCGGTGAGATGTTCGTCAATGCACCAACGTAACCTATCGATATAGTTTTTAAAGTGAAAGGAATAAATACAACATAGTACAACGCAGTCGATTTAGTCAAACCATAGACTTTGTAGAATAGGGATATGAATCACTCACAAACAACGTCTAGGTTGTGATCTGTGTAATTTATAAATGGATTAACTTGAGTTAAACAAAAGAATCACCATGTGCAGTTCTGGTACAGTGAATTTGACAAGGACGAGAAAACAGTTTAATTACCAATTATCTCTCTCTCAACATTTCATTGTGGGTATTATGGGCATAATAAGCATGTTATACCCCCTTTTCTAAAAAAAGAACACGAATTGTATATCACGTAAAATTTTGATCCATAAATTAGTTATGTATGAGAGCAACGACCCATTTGAGAATCTTCTACGTTTTTTATATATGTAGGACATGTCATACATTGGGCATTTTTGTTCAACAAGAAATTTGAATTTTAAGATTATTGACACAAGTTAGTAATGAATTAACAGAAGGGATCACAGACAACATGACAACAAAGAAAATGTCTCCTTTAATTACCCCCTCCTTAAATGAGTCTATACACAAACCATTTCAGGATGTGTGAGGGCGCTGTATTTAACGGAGTCAATGACGACGTGTGATTTGAATATGAATACACAGTTGCTATGAACGCTTTGTGCTGTCCGTACTTGCCTGTATTGTGTAAAGTGCTAGCGTGAATGTCCAGGGCCATAATAGCCACGTACTCATCACCAGAAACCGGGCCCCAGGCACTATATTGCCAAGATAAGTAAGTGTCAATGCGAAATGTAATGATTAGTTTGTACATACTGGTATTTATTATTTTATTCGGCGCTTACCGTACAGCGGCCATTTTGCAAAGTTACAAAGTACGAAATGATAAAGTTGGGTACGGAACAATTACTCCATAGTGTTATAACAATATACTGTGTTGCGAGGGTCACTACTGGTGTACTGAGAATGTATCATCGAGACGTAGAGCTCCATGGTCGAATTGACGGGTACGCGTTGGCAGACCGTTATCGTACGTACGTGACCGCGTAACTGAACGAGTGGTATCAAGGTGAAGCCACGAGTGTGATCGGGAAACACGATTTAATAACATACTTTGGAATAGAATTAACTATAGAGTTCACTTCATCCACTTTCTAAAATTTCAAGATATGTGTTTGTGTGTAAATATCTCGATGCATTGTTGTTCCCCGTTGCTCTTGGCTAACTCCGTGTAGTTACGTCACGTCCGGCAGTCTGAGCATGTAACTACAATGGTCGTAGCTAATCGATGGCCTGTAAGTGTAAATACAACGCACAATAGTGGCTCCATGTGAAACGAGGTTGCCTTACAATCAGGATTATAACGCCCACCAATCAATCAAACGGCGAAACTAAGTTTCTAACTCCAACGGAATGCCAGTTTATTCAATAAACATCACATTGTAACAAGTACTGCCTGTAATTCCTAAAAAAAACGTCATGATTGTTGACGATTGGCAACTTTTATTAGCGAAGCCCTGTATACATGATGTATGAAGCTTAAACATGTATGTGAAAAGTAAGGTGATTAATAACAACAGGAATTGCCGCGACTTCGTAGACCTGATTATTTATTGAGAAGCGACACTTGGTCAACACATATATGTTTGAAGACCAACATTGATTATCCACGCCTATCCAGTGGCACAGTAATAACTTGCATATATTGTACACTCCCTATAGTCATTTGTTTTCGATTGTAATACAATACGTCACGGTAATAAATCTGATACTCGGGATATTCTTTGCAACCTAAAACCTTTGTAACCTAAAACATATATGTCGGCAATTGCATATATTTGGCAGAAAGCTGCGATGCCAGAGAATATGACACAAGCAAATAATGTACAGACGTATTATCCTACGACAAGTTTCCATGGAAAGATTTACATTGCCATAGTTACGATTTAGTAAACTATGGAGAATGTCTTAACGATGCAAAATGGATGAGGAGGGCACGTATTGTTTAATACGTTGGGTTGATACTGATATATACATATTGATGAATACATTGGAATATACTTTATCATTCGTAAGCTGAAAATGCTGTTTTGTTGGCACATCTCTGAGTTTTCGTTCCATGAAACAATTATATAATTCTTTAATACGCACGCGCACTGGTTGTTTCGGTAATACCAGTACACAATAATAATCGATGGACGTGCGTATTATAGTTTTTGGTTTTTCATGCACCAAATATTGTTGTGTGTCTTGCAAACGCATTTTTTTAGTTTATGATAAATCATAGTCCGATTTATCGAGTATCGAACAAAAATATTAAATATATATATGTTTTTGTCGATAGTGTATCTTGAATTACATTATTTATATTTATGCATTTTCACTGCCACTATTTAAGTCACAAAGCAAGACGATTTCGGATAATGTGATAATATTTTACTAAAATCGTGTTAATATTACTTAATATAATTTTACATTTACACCCGCCATGACAAACTATTATATATGTATATCGGAATGCATCAAATCGCCGCGAAGTATCACAGTTCCGTGTATAACATTCAACTGAGACCATTCATGGGCAATCTTTACACAAAATCAGTTGTATATTTACAGGGTAGTATTTCTTAATACAGTAATAACATTAATATATACCTGTATGCAGAAATAGAACACACTGTTGTGTATTATCTATTTTTGCGCTCGTAACACATACATATTTTATCTTGTAGATATATAATCTAGATTATAGTTTCGCATTAGTCTGTAAACGTGATTATAAGTATGACCGACCGTCGTGAGCATTACCAATACAGTGACAAGCAGCCATCTAAAACACGAAGCTCTACACAAGGTAGGTAACGCTCGGGTTCTCATTCAGGGAATCGTGACCATAAGATACCTGTTATTTGTCAGTTCTTGTTGTTTGTTTGCTTTTCGTTTTGTCTATTTAAAATAAGTTGTTGTCATTTTTATAGTTATTAGCATAGTCCCTCTAGATAGAGGGACTGTGGCTCCAGTAAGTTCAATGCATGATATTTTCGTTGTTCATTGTTCCCATGAGTAGGACAATGAATGAGAAGGACTGTGCACGTGTACAAGGCAACAATCGTGACACTCTTTCACAGTACTATTTATTCAACACAATAACACAAGTGTTTGGCTTGTTTACAAGATTAGATTATACTGTCAGGTAAAATCTGATCATGTAAACTGCAAAAAATGATGCATGATCAAATTTTAATAAAACAGGCATGATCAATTTCATCTAACTTAACTGATACGATATCTATCTTTTTACCTCACAGACAAATTGGATGCATGTTAGTGAGATAAATCTGGTCTGCGTAAAGCGACATTCAGTCAAAAAAACAAAAACAGTATAGCATTACCATGTGACTCGAAGTACATTATATGTTGACATGACGTCATGTGATCTCCTTATTTGGAATGTAATTTGGTATTAAACTTGAATATCAAACCAAATGTTGCTAATGTAATGATCATGCGTTGCATGTTGGCCAGTCTCCTTCACAAGCTTTAGACGAGTTCCATGTCCAGGGTTAAAATTTAAACTTATATAACACTGGCATTGATGCGTACGTAACGGCATATCAGGAACACTTGACCATATTTGGCAGAATTATTATGAAAATTTATGAAATCGTGAATTATGACAAGAATCTATTTTTGAATTTTGCAAAGAAAACTTCTTTATTTGTTTTTCATTCCAGCCGGGCGATTAGCTGCCAGATACAAGGGGAGAATATCTCATTTGGAAAGGTCACCATGGAAACCATCCTCCAGCTATGCCCATAATTTGTTTCCACGACTTCACATCCACATTCCCCGGGCCGTCGATTCCTAACAATATAATGATTAACGTCACTTCCGGTTTGCAGAATTACTGACGTACCGCTAGTGACGATGTAGAGACGAACATGAGATGGGTCCTCACAGTCATAAACACATCGCGAGTCGCATTTGTTGTTGCTTTTATTCGCTCTTTTACACTTTTGTGCCTTTTTACAAAAAATCACTTTTTGTGGGAGAACCGCACGCTGAAATGCGTTGAGATGATTCACATGTTGTGTTTTACAAATAGGTTTCCCTTTAAATTGGGATTTCCTAATCGCTCGGCATTGTTTTCTGTGTACATCACTGTATATAACGTATAAAAAACACGAAACATTTTGATTAAATATTATTATTTTAAAACTAATTCGCATTAACGTTTTCCTGTTTCTCGAAAAATTGATTTACTTCAACTTATCTCGTCACTGGTAGTCAGACCGAGATATCGAAACACTGGCAATAATCCTGTATTATATCAACCGCCAGAGGGCGCCATTTGTTTTGAAATCTATGACCTTATCAATTAGCATAAGAAAGGTTGGCCTGCTGTTGCTATATTCGCTTTATGTTGACTCCAAACAGTACGGCGATCGGCGTTGCTAGTGGGCCTTGGTGAACACTGATACAGTGATTTCCTTCAGTGCAATTCTCATTACTGACGTTTACTACCTCGGTAGCTGGCAAGGACTGATCGAAATAGTACGGTAAGTTATTGATTTAATACCGTCAAGGTGTAATGGCGTTCGCCGAACGTTTGTCACACGAAGCCGTCAGTGACAGACAGGAGAATAAACAGGCTTCATCATGACTACAGTGGTGTTATCGTTTAGATCACTGTGTGATCTCGCGTACGCACGCATTAATAACTCCTACATTTTTTTTTTAATTCGAGTGATTGTCCCTTCACACACATCACGCTTATTAAAATAACTTAGGCAATATTACCGTGCTTTTGGTATTATATCGCTTATTGCATGACTTCAGATCAATATGTGGTATCGGGTGTGTTCGTTCTCCTTGCACAAACGATCCATTCATATAGCACTCGAAAGGACGTCACGTCGCATTGTGTGACTGTATTCCCCTTAGAGACGCATTTCTTTCTTTTTTTACGGAAATGCCGCGTTTATTTAATTTTATCGATTTTTTTTCGTCAAATATATTTCTTGTTTTGCGTAATATCATGATGGTGACGTTGGGTGGACGCCATCCCGTTAATACTCAATGTTCATGCTGATGTGAGGCCCAGCCAGTGAACGGTAAACGCATTTTATTTCACGCGGAAAGAAAAACACAGAAACAACTCGCCCACAAAAGCAAGTAATACAAACGCTAATGCACTAGTCAAAAGAGAAAGCTGGCTGAACGAGTATTATCTTTTAACTGTGTACATTACAAGGTCAGTGAGCAATGAGTGCACTTCATGTCATTTCGACTCGGTATTTGCTTTCACCGTGACATACCAACACGGTAACACATCGGCCCCGTGTGAGCTACGCAGCAGGGGCTTTGTCGTGCAAACTCGCGTTAAGTTCAACTCGTTAATTCGCCTTCAGAACGTACTTGACAGTCAATTTGTAACGCGCTTCCGAAGTGGAAACCCTACTCGACATCGACAACCCCGGCCAAGTTTGACAATGACTCACGTGAACTTCATAAAATTTACGACTACCTATATATGTGTAAATGTTGTTATACACTTCTTGCACTCTGTAGAGGTGTCGCTCACCCCGGTAAACAACGTGTTATTGTCCCATGTATACATCATTATTCATCGTATCCCCTTTACGCGCGGCTACACAATGGGTTAGGCTGTCTATAAAACAGTAGTCATTGTTCTCATTAACCTTTTTTCTGGATTGACTCATAGAACTAGTCTTTGGACATTTCACTAAATTAACTTCTCCGCCATTCAAGTGGTGGGATCAACCGTTTGCATGGCAACGGATATTACGACAGCGTTTCTTGATGTTGAGTTGAATGTAATGTCATGTTTGTAAAGCTAAACTCCTCATCCCTGTGGCTGGCCCCATTGTCGAGAAATCAGACAATATATAAACGAAGGCCATCTAGCTGCACAACCACAGTCCTGATTTATATACCATTTTTATTTCGTTGGGCAGTAGGAGTTGCATTATTATTGGCCTACCAAGTGCAACCAGTGTCAATTTGATTGTTTACTCGCTGTTTGTAAATTTATGCAAACGCAATTATGGTTAGACGTCCGATGTTTCTTGTATTCATTTCTATCATAAAACTAACTCACGTTTCATGTTACTATTAACTTTTATATTACGGTTGCTATGGCGATAACACACGAATACAAGTATGTGTTATTAAGGTCGTTGGCGGGCATGGGCGACACAGATTATTGCGTTTGTTATAAGTGATTTCCTCATCCCAGCATCAAACCGACAACGTTATGAGATATGATGAGATGTGTTTACCTTAGAAACCAACGGTAAATCACTCAAAATTGAATGGTATTCAATTACCTATCTTTTCCATAAGTCTTGTATTGCTATTAACGACTCCTTAGTCGCTGATTTAAACTGTCTCCACCCCTAAACAAAAGAAGGTCGCTATCTCCCTCTCTAAATTTGTTCTATCTGCATATACATGTGAATGCCAATAAGTGCTTTTCAAATTTCAATCATATTTCACGTGTATTCGACGATTCGTGGGCAATGCTTCAATCGCCGACACTCGTCAGTGTTTGTCGCTGCAGTCAGTGACGTCGTTTAATTTGCTAACCGCTACTGTTGATCTTGCAATATCGCTGTGTCAATTCACCTGTACTTACCACACGGTCCTCGTATCCCAGCAACCACCACGACTGTTACATATGTGTACATGTAGCTAAAGATAGCCTTGCATGCATGGACGTACATTAGTGTAAGGGTGTTGGAAATATTTTCGGGGACTCAGAGAGATTGGTGGACAAATGTCATTTGCATGTAGGGGAGGAAATGAAGGGGCATGCCAGTCACGTGTTCGACAACGTAATGCGTCCGAATACCATATTCACTCTTGGCAGAAACAAATGGCTTACTCCTAACTTCCTTTTAGATTTCGGTTGAAGTAAACTTGCATGTTTTCATATCCTTCTGTTGGTATACAGGTGGCATCAAGATGGCATGGAACTTGGCAACATGTGATCACCCCGCTGTGCTGCAGCATATGCAAGAAGCAAACACCCAGCTCCTCAACGAAATCCGCAAAATAAGATGCAGCGAGTACAAGAAGTTGTTTCAGCAGACGAGGAGTTTTCTGGATGCGTTGGAGCGTACACCATTGGCACGCCATCGTTCTTACGGTCCGAGCGTGCGGACAATGAGACAGATTCGAGATTGCTACCACACTTCGCAAAAGATGGACGGTGAGAGAACGACACACTACACAGTTTTACTCGGCTACTTTATACATCTGGGAGACGAACTGCGACAGCTTGCCATTAACGTGAAAGAGTGGTTGGGGGAACCCGTGGAACAACTCACCGTTCACCCTTCCCAGGAAGCCTGCGGCAGGAAAATATTGGAGGAACTGGCATTCTGGGACACTTTCCTGAATGAAGATAATGATTTCACTGATCTACATAAATACAAAACTTTGGAAGAATTTCGTGGTTTGAATACTGGGGAAGTCAGCATATATGGCGCCGTCGTTAATCTGTTGCCTGTAATGTTGAAAACTATCGAACTCATCACACAGGAGGTAAGAATAAACGAACATTGACATAGAATGCGAAACTTGCATCACAATGTGATCTATAGTATGATGTGTTAATCATGATGTGCGTACGTTTTTGTGTTTAAATTATAAAAGTAATAAAATAAAATACTTTTATGATTTGAATGAAGATAATTTTCTAAAATTGCCAGATTATATATTTTAGTTATATTTTACGACAATATATTATGTCAAGAATACGAACTTCTCAGATGCTCGAATTGAAGCTGTTAGATCTGATCGTATGATTTGATGTTCATTTGTTTTTAATTTAAGTATTTGCAAAATATTAGGTTGGCAATATTATAAGATGACAAGTTGAATTAAAACACGTTTAAAGAAAACTTCTGATATCAACACGAAATATGAAAATGTCAGATCTGCGGTTAATTTGGTTTGACACATTTTTTTTCGACAATCAAGCCAGAGAAGACAATGAGTCATAAATTGATATAAAATCTACCAATCATCGAATCAGGACTTATGCAGTATTATGTGATCCGGTAATCACTACATTATTGTTACGTCATAGAATCACAAGACTGTATTATCTATTTAAATGTTCTATATACCATTGTAACTTTACAACTCATATGATGTGTTTTGTTACGACAGGTAACCAAATGGTTAAATACGACCTACCGCCTTGGCATGGGAATCTTCAGAAATGGTAGAAGTATTCTAGTTCAAGAGTCCTCAAACGGCCCGGCTGTGCGCCCGGGATCAAGAGCAGGTTCATACGCCGGTTCACGCTCAGGATCACGTGCTGAACCTCGCCCAGTAAGCAGTCGAGACCATCGCCCCAGCAGTCGTGCCAGTTACGAACACCAGAGACCCGGCAGCAGAAGCAGCGCCATGGTGGAGCGCCCGTCGACGGCGAGAGACAGACCGTGCAGTCGATATGGCCACACAATAGCTACACAGACAGATTTTCAAAGACCAGCCTCTAAAGATATCACCAGGCCTGCTTCGAGGGACGCTCCGCGAACACGAATTGTGTCAGCACCAGTTTCCAGACGATCGTATGGTAAGTCTCAGGTAAAAAAAAACTTTCCCATTTTGTAAGTAGAAGATAGAAATCCAACCCGCCACTATCCTTGATAAGTTAGTAACATACACCGAAGATAAAAAAAAAATACAGACAATACATGAGTATAGTGATACACGGTAAATTGCACCACTTATTATTATCTCGATATGAATGCATGCAATGGAATAATACACAAATATTCGATGGCATCGATGGGTTGCTATTTTTCTACAACGGTTCCGATTATTATTTTTATCAACAGCTGAACAACTTGCATCCCGATACAATGGAAGAATATCCCTATTGGAACGACCTCCATGGAAGCCCTCCTCCCAGGTACCACATAACCTCTACCCGAAATTGCACATACACCTCGGAGACAACGGATACTAACGTCGACATGGTCGTACCGCCGGATTATTTCGATCGAAGTCACATTTACCATCCTCGCTACTGAGAAGAACGCCCCCTTCACCAACAATTAATGTTGGTTTATCTACACAATTAAGAATACAGTCAAATAATCTGCAATATTTTAGTGGATACCTTCAAGTTGTTGAGCCACCATCATTGGCCACCACCGTCGTTTTAGATAAGCCTGCCAAATTATTTTCTATGGACACATTGGTTGTCAACATTCGTGCCTTATTGTACTTTTTAGTCTAAAACATTCATCCCGTGTCAGTGCCAGTACTGTACGGTTGTCTGTACCAATTCTAGTGTCCTTATAAAAACCTGTATATATTTTAAGGTGAATGACTATCATTATTATCGTAGTATTTAAACTCTTCCTAATTGGTAGAAAACGCTGTATATATTGACATTTTTTTCTCAGGTTTATTTTCCGTTTACCGCGCTTTCAACTTTTTACAGTTTTAAGTCATGGTTCCCGGAATGAAACTCCCTCTGAATAGTATCGTAGAGGGCGCATTCTACGAAACATGCCCCGTTCTTGCAATATTACCCTGGGTTGGGAATTTGCCATTAAACACTCTGAGGGAGATGGTTGTTTTTCAATCTATACTGAAAAAAAGTTATAAATTATATATCTGTTGAAAATAAATAACTACAATATCCTAAAAGCTAGTTCAAAACAAAGAAACGCAATAATTTGCCATCCTCTCATCCCGTAGTTTATAATGGCAACCCCAACGTAAATAGCTGTTAAATATAAACAAGTTGTACCATGTACCAAGTAACTAATCACTCTGGGCGTAATCGCACGTGACTACATGTATTGTCAGTTTCAGTAATAAAACATTTTTTTGTAGAATATTTTTGTACCGTATCAATATACTAGTGAATATCGTAACGAATAATGGAAGTCTATAATGATATATAAATGTATTCACATATTAAATTTAGTTCACATATTAAATTTAGTTTATATGTACTTTTTATAGCATTGAAATAAACAGATAATAATGCGGGTTAAGTCGTTTCTGATTCTGCTCAAGTTCAATCTTGTATGTTTTGTTTGTTTGTGTGCGACTGTATGGTGGACTTTTGTCGTCCCATCAATCCCTAACTAACCAGACATGGTCGGCGATAGTTAAGCGTTCGAGTGAGTCCGTCGGTGATAGCGCTATAACTATCACCGACGATGTTAGTCTAATCCACAGCGTTCCCAGCTCGACATCAATCGTGGTATCACACCCCCAGAATCAACAGCATGAAATACACTTGGACTATAGAAGATTAGTAACGCGAATTAACCCATACTTTAAACGAGCGTCGGTGAAACTCATTAAATGTATTTAATTTCAATTAGTAGTGAAATGCATGTCAAAACTGTAAGAAACTGTGTTAAACCTAAATATGAATCTGTGAAAAAATAGGAAACTGGCACTACAATTCAGATGGCTATGTTTATTTTGAAACAGTACTTTCTGTTCCATGGAGTACGTATGGATAACCATGTATTGTACATATTGTATTGTAATTACGTGTTCCAATGGGAATGTGAACGAATTTAATTTTATAGGTTATGGGTACTTTTAATTTAATTTTAATGCGACGTTTTTAGAGGGTGCCCGACTTAAAATTCATTGAGAAAATATTGCTAATTTTAGTATTAGTTAACTGTGAACAATATAATGTTGTTTATTTTAAAGCGGGGGAGTCGTCGCCATAGCGTGTCATTTTTTACAAATAAGCGTCTATCCATGAGCCTTTGCATTTTAGCGTGTGTTGTTATCGTCGCTTGGGACTCAATTCCCGCGCGTGCGCAGGTGACGCCCCTCCCGCTTTATCCTTGTCATGTATGATATACATGTATACATCATAGTAACCCATCACACTAGAATTTGGAATATAGAAATATGTTGTCAGCATAGCGACAACCAATGGTAAAACTAACACTATAAACTCTAGAATTGTACAACTTCATTCTGGTAATAAACGTAAATTTGATGCCTCTGCCTTCATCTGATTGTAACCATGGTGATAATATTAACTGTAATCGATAAATATAATGTTGTACTGAATCAGATGTGGATTTAGAGAAAACATAGAAAAATACGTCAACAATATTTATTGTTGTATCCAACGTCTAGTACTCTATGACATGTTACTTCTTGAAAACGCACCAATCCCGTATCTGCTGATTGATTACCATTTGGATACATATTTAAAACAAGCTCTTCCGCTAATCTATTTTTCTCGGCACTGAGTGTGACAATCGTCATCTCTGACTCATTATCCAATAAAATCATCCTTGAATCACGGTTCAACCCTAGCGCTAGAGATGAAAGCTGATTTTCATCCTTGAATCTGGTAAAAAGTACTTCTTAGTAATTTCCAATTAACAGTGTACTAATGTGATTTTCTCAGTATGATGCCCTCTATTTTTCTCCTCTAAGTTACATTTTCGACGTAGAGGGTGTAATTCAAAGGTGTTTTGTTAACCTGCCACGCAACGCTTACTCAAAAGAAAATTTTGAGACCTGATGAATAATTATGTCATCAGAGTTCGCAACAACACATACAAATTGAACTGGTCCTTAGAAAATGATTACTGGGTTTCAGTGGTCAGAATAACCGACCTTCAACGTTGTACTTGACCGCGGGAATATGTTTACATCTTTTTAATTAAAGTTCGTTGTTAAATGAGGTTTGAATACTGGCCCGGTCATGCCACACCTCTCTGGTAAGTAGGCACAAACTAGGATTTTTTTTTAATCAAAATATTTACTATAATATCGTATTTCATTTAATGTTGTTATTATTCTCTGGGGATATTTATTTTGTTGGGGAAATTGCCAACATTTTGTCAGCGCGTAAACTCGACGCACTGTTTCCAATAGGAACTGCAATCAACACACTTTTTGCAACACTCATTACAAGTTATACAGCCCCCCCCCCAGAAGAAAAAGACGTTTAGTGTCTTTGTTTTGAATGCCTTTAATATGGCGTATTTTAATTTAATGGCAAATTCGAAAGTGACGTTCAAATAACGCGTTGAACGAGGATATATTTGTTAAAGTAAAATTCACATTTAAGGTTGTCTTATGTTTTCTGGTAATCTGATATCATCCAATCAGGCGCGTCGATACATTCATGATCAACTATTCTTATCCAATCTGACTTGTTGACACATTTATGATAAACCAGGTGTGATAGTCACGTGACACAAACACGTTATCGGACTTGCAAATTCAATACCATCATGTACCTCTAAATGTGTAACGAAGAATTTGCCTTGGTGTTAACATATCTTTATTAATTTTGAAGTATTACATTTGACAACATTTCTCCAACAATGCAAGTTTATTTTAATCATTGCCACTGAGCACAATGCATGCTTTAAAAGAATTCATTTGCGCTTCTTTCTCTGTAATTCTATGTAGTTTTGATTTAGATATAAAACGAGCTCTAAGCATTTCCGTCAATTATTCACATCTTGATGTAGCTATTTTACACTGACATATGGTTTCCAAGGCTTAACCTTTTCACCACCAGAACTAGACTTTCTGCACTTTTTTATAATAATATTCAATATTTTTTTATATCAACCATAATTTTGGAGCAAACAGGAAATTTGAGTAAATTTTCAGTCACCACCAGACTTTCTCGCCCAAATTTGTCTCTGCACTTTCAATACCTTTGCGAATGAACCTTAATTTTGAAGCCAACAGACTAAACTTTAGTCACTTTTCAGTTTTTAATTAAAAATTTAGGCTACTTTTGTTCCCATATTCCGAAGGAAAGTGCAGACTATAAACAGGACTATTTTGTGAATTTGTGATGAAAGAGGGAACTGGCGGTGCACACACACATTGGCGTTCAATGATTTCCACTAAGACCACAAGAAACATCGCATTGAAAGCTAAGCCCCATACCACCCGTGACACAATTTACTTTCAAATACTACTATATATACAATTCTCTTAGAACGGGGTCTATATATTACGATGAACCAGAACTGGAAGAGCGTTCATTTTCTCCTGGGGATAGGTTGGTGTATTTTCCCGGGAAATAAGTTGGTTGGTTGTTTCGATGGCGGTTTCCATGGTGGTCGTCCTTCCATTGTGTTTTTATCTGCGGGAAAAAATAGCAAAAATAATCAAACTAACGATTTGTATAAAAAGAGTAGGATACTAAAAAAATTGTTGGACATATTCATTCACAATAATAAAAAGGTTTGGACGGGCTTACTTTATGCTTTTTTATGATAACGTATACATTACCAAATAAATATATTATACTTACCGTTGACCCCCCCCCCCACCTCTTCCTCAAATAAGATGTGTTATCGCAATCTTACCTTTATTGTCATTCGTGTCTTCTTTGGGCGTCGGTGGCGGTGTTGGTACTGGTGTATTTACTAACAAATGACTGTAAATACCCATTCCCAGTTGAGTGGTAATGTCGATCCAACTTGCTACCTAGTAATACAAGAGATATAACTTCCGTTATAATAGTGACATAAATAATAACAAAGCTTGGTTTTTATTAGGATTAGTATAAAACGGGATAAACGTATGAATATGGCAGTCTAAAGAGTGATTTCGTTTCGTCATCCCCACCCCGTCTGTTTCGTCGTTACCCTTCTACGATACGTGCCTCAGCAGATACTATGTCCCGGAACCAAGCATCTATAAGAATTTAAAATTAGAAGAAGCTATAACTTACCATTCCTGGGACATCTTCGAGACATTGTAAGAGTACGGGAGGTAGATTAACTACGGGTGCCCACCCCGGAACCTCGCCGCAATCTAAACCGCGTAATTCCTGCAGAGTTTTGTACTTTCCTAAATCCATGAAATCATTCTCTTCTTCGATGTATTTAACAATAAAGTCGATTTCGCAGCATAGTTTTTTAGAAGCGGCCTCTTGATCTGGGTGGACTGTCAGTTCTTTTATGCCATCGCCGATCCACGCCCTCACTCGGTTTGCCAGGTCACGTATCGCCTGACAGACGTGTAAATAGTAACCTAGTACAATGGTGAAGTGCGTCGTTCTCTCGTCGCCGTCCATCTCTCGGGACAACGCGTAACATTCGCGGACGTCGCGGATTGTGCGAATTCCGGCGAAGCTGTGGTCGTTTTCGGGGACTTTGCTGGTACGTTGCATGGCGTCCAAGAAACTACGTGACTGGCGGTACAGGGAGTTGTATTCACCTGCACGGATGTGAGATATCTCCCGTATAAGCTGAGCGGTGGCGTCCTGCACGTACTCAATCATTAAGACCGGATCAAAACGAGCCGGTTTCGTGCCGTTACTCATCTTGACACCTGTAATAAACAATAAGAGAATCATCAAGTGAAGGCAACAGTTTAAATATGGCCCAGACCGACAATAAGGAGTACAGAAGATACACATGATGGGCACAAATCTTGTACTCAGAAGTAAGATAATGTTAACTATCTCTTCTTCTGTTGTGGAGTTATAATTATGAAGCAATCTTGATTGGTGGTTTAAGCGTAATGTAAGAGTTACAACTTTCGCGTGACGTAGGTACGATACACTTCATTTTAACGAACTCTTTTGGAATCACACAAATAGTTTGTTATAGTGAAATGTTCATTATAATGAAGCACATAATATATTGGGTTTGTTATGTGTTCATTATATCAGGGGGAAAATATTGAGGTGTTCATTATAACGAGGTTACAATGTAATAATAAAGCGAGCATTGATATTAAACTAAATCCCAATGTAGCAATAATAATATATCCATCCGACGCAGTTTTTAATAAATTGTGGACACTTAACTGAAATTGTAAATTAATAATTTATGCACATATTGGTTTGTTTTGAATATTCCTTGGTGACACGATAATATAATGACCACCATTGAATATGACATGTATAGCCGTATGTCACACGTTTTTTTTCACGACTAACCAGCGTTACTATGGCAACCAATGCAATTTAAGTTTCATCTGCAAATTAGTCCGTTCATTATTTCGGGCGTGGTGAGTTGCAATTGCCGTACCGCTGTACAAGTACTTGATTTTGATGTTTCAAATTTGAAATTAATATATAATGGGAATAATAGCGGGAATGTTGTCACAATGTTATAACGTTTACTGTTTATACAAGTGAGATTTGTTTCAAGACTGAACTCGGTGTAGCGGTAAGTTTCACTGAAAACGACTTTCAACTTGACTGTGAAAATTGACTTATCAATTTGTTCGTAAAATAAATATTCAGCTATCCGTCAAATAAAATGAGTTGAAATGTCAGATGACGTCATATCCGGTGACTTACAGTGCGTATATTACTGTTTAACTCAGTCAACAACAGTCAAATCCACGTATTGTAGCTGATATATAGTTACACGCACTTTGAGTTAGGAACACAGTCGAACACCGAATTCGAATTTATGTTCATGCTGAGAGATTGGTGTACAATGGCATTGCGTTTATACGCGTCGGAACCGAGCCATAAAACAGACACCCTTAAATATTATGAATGAGAGTTGTCACTATTGTCATTTCACGGTTGGTGGGTTTCCAATGGATTTGTATTGTCCAACTACTGATCAATGACGCGAAACGCCGGGTGCAGGACACTGGGTGACGAAGACGCTTTTACGGCTTTATAGTCTGTATCTATAAAGGTGAACCCGGGCCGCAATGTTTATAAGTTGAGAATTTGAGATCGGACCATTGAATGTTAAATCTGTTCTATATTTAATCTGGGAAATAACATAGACTTTTAAGTAGGTCCAGGTTTAAAAGTCATTTTCTGCACTCTTTATATATTACCGGGATATATTACATAATGATTGCGGGAGTCACCGGCGAAAGATTCTAGAATCTTGTTACAAATTGTCAACAACAAAAATTTTCATTTAAAATTTAGTGAGTTTCTTTAAACAATGTTTTCAATCATGTAAGAATAGCTGGAAAACAAACCGCACAGAACAATGCATTCTTGCCATGTACATAACTGTTTAACTTTTCAAAAGAATAAATTCAAGGTTGGCTCGGCGTCTCCATAGGGAAAGACTCTACTATAATTGATTACAAATTTGAAACCATTTAAAAACGCCAGAACACAAATGTACTACTCCTTGGGGCCCAGCACGACGCAATGAATTGGAATAAGTCATCCGACTAAGCACCGGTACCACGTGTATAACAACCAGTTAAACTCACATATACGTGAATTATCATATATATTGGTCTTGGCCGCCGTGAGCCAGCACAGGTGTGGACGTGACACAAAGGTATAATCTAATCGTATTCTATAACCACATATAAATACATCGGTATCTGAGAATCCGCGTTGCCATAGTTACTATATTATAAAAACGATTGCAACAGACAATACAAATGTCGATAGCGAATTATTTTGTTGTATCGTTCAGAAACTGAACATCGTAATTGTGATAAATATTTTAAACTGTAGGTTGTGACTAAAATATTGGCAACTGCACATATACAACTATAGTCTTAACGTATTGAAATCAATAAACAGCACAATTAGGGTAATACATTATAGGAACGCTTTCCTTTATTCTATTGAAAAATGGCGGCGTTGCATATGTTCATACGGTGAACGTACACTCAATATGATATTTACTCGCTGTTCAACAACAATTTATTCAGTATTCCGATAGCGGTCAGAAATATTATATTATTATTTGATTGATTAAAGGTTTCGGTAGTCATGCCTTGAATATGTAATTTGTGATTTCACCGACGATAATTGGCGAGAACGAGCCGAGACGTTGACCTGAAATCTGTTCGTATTTATATATAAACGGTGTAGGTTTCAATGTGTTGTCGTGAAATACTGAACAGACATCGATTTGGTAATGAAATATCAGCTGAACAATATCACTATTTAGAACGTGGTTATAAAATAACAGACCGCTGTGTGGTAGTTATGGGTCTCTTTGACGTTTGTATTGCACAGGAAATTAATTACCGCGTGGTTAAAACGGGCATATCAATTTAACACCGACGACGAAAAAAACATATCACGGCAACAAATGACGAATTGATCGACACATATTTCATCATGATATTTACATGGGAATTCACAGAAAGACTAGATGGTTGGTTGGTTGGAGACGATCGTTTCTGACCTCGGGTCGAGTATCATGACATTAAATCTAACGGTAAATCTTATCCATGTACTTTAACTCGATGGCTTCATCAGTGGAATGTAAATAAGTGAAATAGAAAGTGTAAATACTCACGCTGATTACAGCTGAAATCTGCAACAGAGTGTCTATTACAACCTATGAAATAGTGTAGTAATGTACCTTGTCGACTGCGATAACCACGAGCGGGGTGTCTATTGCCTCGTTACGAAGTAAACACGAGTTTCAACCCTGGCGACAACCATGGCAACGGACAGATCCACTGCTGTCATGCATGTTAGGTGTCATGGAGGTCACAGTCAGCACAATACTAGGCATAGTATTTTGCTGGGTTAAATGCCGCTATTCACCGGGGACGTCTTTGTGTAGACAAGGGGTGGATCGCAAATATGAACTTGTGTATGGTGAGTTGAAGGGGGAGATTAATATTTACGTCCATTAATCGGGAAATAACCAACCTCGTCATAATATCATCTGTATCATGACATCGACAACGAAATGGAACAGCTCAGTATATGGAGTGTTGGCTGTGAGTGAAAAGAACATGGCTCTTTCAGATTTCAATAACAGAATATTGAAGACTGCTTTCTAGCGCAATGTTTTATGTTGGCACTAATACCCACCCGTTATTTTCTTCTGCATTTTTACTTAATCCTCGCAGTAACGAAGGCGTCAGCCGTGCCCCGTGGCTGTCAAGTCAGAGAGAGGCGTGTTGGCCGCGGCGCCTAGATATAGTTAAAGTGGGCCCGATGCAGTAAACATCATCATGCATTGTCCATTTTAACTGCAGTTCGATTCAACTTATAAAGTATATCGCGACTGCTTAGTATGACGAAATTTAAACTAAACCGGCTTTGTTTTGTGATACGTATCACAGGCATGGTGCAACAGGAGGTGACGTAATCTGAGGGGAATTGTTGGAGGGTAATATTACTTGTAGAAGCATTTGTATACAAACATGTACAATGCATCAACGACTGTACAATTACCGTCCATGCGAACTAGCTAATTGTTTTACCACAAAGTTAGCAAGTATTACATTCCCTTTCTAAACATGATCATTATTCAGTGCATATACCGGTAAATGTAACACGCAGCTACAATTCCCGTCTCTGTTATATATGCCGCAGTGAATGGAGATTACCCAAAAGCTATTCAACTGTCTTGTGATCACAAAGAGATCTATTGTACCACAATCCCTCTACTGTGAATGTATCGTACAATAAAGGCTCGGATTAAGATGTTGCCCGAAGCAGTCAGTGCACGAACCGTTATAGGCAATGTGGCGCCGGCCACGATCTAGAATACTACTACATACGTGTGGACACCGTGCACGGAATATCGTTATCCCCATCAGTCCCAATGCACTGATTGTGCGCTGAATATATCAGTTATTGAATATACACCAAGACTGTGTCGGGATAAATTAATATAAAACAACTTATATAGACATTTCATTTGACGAATCTGGTTCATGATCTGAGACCTCTATAACTGACTTGCATACAGTCTCTTGTTTGGTGTTTTTTTTGAAATTTGGGATAGCGATCGCCCCCCCCCCATATACTGTAGTACTAACTTAATTAAACACCACACCCAAATAAATGCAATCGATCTAGTCAAATTAAGAGTATCTTGAAATATAACTGACTGTCATGATTTACTCCAATAATTGAGTGAGCCAAAACAAAAAGTTTACCTCGTATATAGAGTGGTGATTAGGGGGCGGATCTATACCTACTCAATGAAGTGGTGAACCTCCCAGTGAGTGAACATATTGAGTAAGGCGAGCGGATTGGTACCTACTTCTTAAACGGTAAACTACCCCGTGAGTAATCAGAGAAAGTATGGGAGTGGATTGATATTTATTCCGTAACGAAGTAAGACTTCCCAACGAGTAAACAGAGAAGGTACAACTTTTTGTTGATTAACAGCTATATGTCAAAATTTTAGGATGAACATTTTAGGGTTGTTGCTAAATCTTTGGTATAGAGTATTACATGTATTCTTCATCGGTGTGGATACATAATGTATCAGATATCTGTAGCGTACCGTCGCTGGATAGGAACGCCGACTGTCGCGCCATTGTACCGAATTGGTTATGTATCGTCTGTTTGTTCGCTTCGTTTTACTTTCACAATCGTTACGTTGTAAGTTTATTGCCGTGAAAAGAGAACGACCTGTTTATATATCAGAACTGAAAGTTGAATGAAACGAAACGACCACACCCGGTGACGCTGGTCATTGTTTTGAATTGCAAGGCCTCAGTCGTAAATTTCAGTAAATTAATCATACCATTCAATAATCTCATTGTTGGCATGCGCTCGAGTCATTAGTGTTGAAGGATGTATTTCTGACTGCAACGAAAAACGATACAATGATAGTACTTGGTCGCTGGTGGCACTGTGGTCGATTATTTGCTGTGTTTTCAAGTGGAACAAACCTTGCTACACAATACACTCATTAGGGTAACACAATTGGTGTTTTGTACAAATGTATGCTAATTTGATTCGATAGATAACTTGAATAATTTATGCTAATTCAATCGGTGTTTTGTATAAATCAGAAATTATGCTAATTAAACTGGTTTCTTGAATAAATTATGCTAATTAAATACTTCTCTTGAATAATTATTGTGTGTCAGAAATGTATCCGCCAGTTCAAATTATTATTCTCGAATATATTACGAAGCATATCAGACAAGTATATCCTATTGAACTCAAAATTCTCAATAAAATGCTTGTCACATTTTTAATTGTTTCAATGTTTTTAATTGTTAAATGTTTCAAATAAAACGACGATAACAACAATATCCGAGTCATTGTATGACGTAGGTAGTTCATGCCAGACCCCGCATTTATTATGTACGAACAAATTTATAATGTAGAAATGTTTTACTATGCATAATAATAACTTTGAAGTTTATGCAAATAGTTAAAATGACAGAACAGATATTCATTTATGTACCCAGCTCTTATTGATTATCAACAATATCAAAAGAGATGAAATTTACATATCTACTGTGTTAGATATAAACGTATTCCGTATAATGCGCGGCTATAATACAGACCAGAAAATCAGTCAGAACTAGTTACCAAAGCACATTGTCCTGTTAATTGCTTTGGCTCTATCTAAAAGAGCACAGTGAGGATGACAAGTGTGTTTGCTTGATTAAGATACGATGACGAGAATCGCGGTGGTGTGGCTGTTTCATTTCAAGTTCAATGATTCAGTTTTCGCGCAAGTTATCATGGGACATGCTAAGCCGAGTCTGATATCGAAATTCTACCTTGAAATTGAGCTATACAACAATAGTTAATTAAATAATAAAGTGCAGACGAGATAACGCCAACAAGGCCAAATTGAATGGTTAATAACAAAGACAGAATTCACTGGGTACAGGAATGATACAGTTTATTGCGAACTACAATCAGGGTTTCACTGAATCTACAATACAAAAGCACAACTCCCAATACAGGACAAGTTACGGTGATTAATTTCAAGGTTACTACTAATTGTCAAGAATACTTACTGTATCAGACAGACTGCGACAGACTTCAAATACCTAATACTAAAGACGTTTTAAATACACAAATGCAAATGAACTATATTACCATATTAACTTTTTTTTGGTTAGCAGAAAAGACAATTAAACGAAAGAACGTGACAACAAAATATTCAACATTAAACATATCCCAATAAAATTATAATAATAAATGGATAATCTCAACAATGTTTTAGGTTGAATGAATGCCAATTTTAAACAAATTTAATGTTCAGGAATATTACTCATATCGCATTGATTAATCAAATGGTAGTACTAATAATATGCATGACAATACTATACTCATGCTCCAATGGCGAAAAAAATAGATCACCAAAAATATTTCTGCAAGACGATAAAAGTAAGTCTAACATTGAGGTGAGAAAGATACACCGACATTGTGAGCAATAATGTAATAATGACATGTTTTTATCAGGCATGATGTTGTCCTGTGTATATATTACATATTACTATAGTGCGTATGTACACTTGTACGTTTTATTTTGAACTAATGATTCAATATACAAACACATTGGATTTCATGTAATTAGCATTAAATATTAATATTGACAACAATTTGAATAAATACATAACACATTGGTACCAATCAGCTAAATCGCTGTCTCAAAACATCACTGACACTGTCATGATATAACAGTTATTTCCGCTAAAATGTGCTAAATTTTTTAACATCGTATGTTTATTTAGATATGGTTTTTATGGAAATCTATATAACATCCCAAAAATGAGATCGAGTGAATTTATGAAGTTGCGGATCAGTTTCTATAGTAACAAATGTTTTCCCCAATTATGATGAGATATTATTTGAATTAGAATATGTTTGTATGAAATGTATAAATGTTTTTTTCAGAAGTGAGTTCCCCTTGTGATATTGTTGTTAACAATAATCATAGAATTATGTAAGTGAAACTGTGAATGCTGATAATTTTCATGATGCCAGTAAATGTTTCATCCATAGAATGACAAATTGTATGATATCTGGAAAAAAACATCATAATACAACTCACACCAAACAGGTTTTATCGTATCCGTTATGCAAAATAGCTCATCTACATATTGAATTCTGGCAGGTATGCTATCATAATTTTTGATCACACATTATTAAACTTCACCGAACAAAATGATATTTTACAGACATTTCAAATACAATCGATGAGCTATATGTTCGATTGAATCATATTTTGTGGACAATGTGTGTATACTATAGTAAGCATTGTCAATTTGTTTGATATACAAGTCATGCAACGCAAACTTTTGTAAATCATTACTTTATACTTAGTCTAATGATAGTTATGATAATTCATGTGTACAACCGGAATACGCTCAACGTTTTTGCTCTTATAGATGGTAAAATATCTTGACGATTACGACGTGCATTTGGCAATATTTTTTCACAAATATAAATTTGTCAATTTACTATCGCTGCCACCTGAAAGCTGTTTCAAATTATTTGATTTTTGCTTTGGTTCAGTCGATTGCTACACACTGTGTTATTATAGTGTGTTTCATTGTTTCAAGTTTTGTAGACAGGGTGAAAACAAAGTGCTGCACCCATAAAAATGTCAGGTCTTGGATAAACCTACCGCTTTTACCACTCTTAGTCTTTTCCAACCATTTCCTGATTTTCCTATTATTCCTTGTCCTTATGTATGACAACATTTTCTATACATAGTAGTCACCGACTCTAGCTGGACACCGGAAAGTCAAAATAATGTCGAGCTACCAATAGTGGGTTGTACCTACACCTCGTATCAGCCCTGAAAGTTACAATAGTATTGGATGGGCATTGAATTGACAAGCTATGTAAAGATCTTGCAATCAAATTCGTTGAGATAAGTTGGTTTTCAATTAAGGAATATATTCTAAAAATATGATCCAATTCTGTTTAAAATGTTTGTTAAAAACACGCACTTTCGGATAATTTAGATGACAAGCAACGCCTGACTAAATGAGCCCTTGCGAATTTGCTGGCCCTGCATCTGGTACATTCAAATTCAGGTGTTCCTGAACGTCTTGCTTGAAGGCTGAACCGCCAATATTACGCCTGTTCAGTAACCAATAGGTGGCCATTCTACCCTTGCCCTGCAAAATAATTTATTGTAATTCTGACATTAATCCAAAAAAGAATGCCGAAAATCACGAGCACAAGAAATGTATCCGATGAGAGATATGTAAATGTATATTTGCTCTTGGTGCAGCATTGGTATCAGTGTATGTAACAGTCGGCCGTTTGGGTGGCACTATTGTCGTGGTGTGTGATATTCAGCCACGGGTGGGATATTGTTGGCAGGGTGTGTGATATTTACTTGAATCTAATTACCGTAATTGTAATTTCTCCTCTTTGTTTCATAACAAAACAGTCGATGTCTTTCAAAATATCGCGGGTATGTTCACTCAGGTGAATACGATTGGCTGCAGTAGAAATGGACATGTTGTAATGATATGTATCATACGTAGGTTCACATTCTATCACCCCCCGGGGGATACTCCAAGTCAGACCTGGTACCCATGCTGAAGTATAGCTTTTCAAAAAAGCCTCTAAACACGTACTTATTTTGGTGAAATTATACCCCTTTTCAAATACAGAAACTTAAAATAGATACCCTATATATATATATATATATACTAAAATCATAATGTTTCCAAGTTGAGGTAACATGAATTCATGAGAAACCCTTTTTTTTACACTTTATTACTACACACGCGTATACGCGGCAAATAACTAAATAACGTCCCTTTACGCGTTTTTTTACTTCAGCTTTCGTGCCATATTTCGTGCCATATTCAGAGACCCCCCCCCCCCCGAGTTATCACCACAATGCACCAAACCCGTCACAGATAGAATGTATAGAAATACCACGTACTGCCACAAAGACGACATCTACTTACGCAGGCCGGTGGCCTCCATTCTTGAAGCAATTCTTACTGAGTAACCAAATAAGTAGTAGCGAGGCATTTTCGTGCCGACGATTCCGGCTGCAACAGATCCAGTATGGATCCCAATGCGTAAAGTCATCTTTGTTCCTGGTTTGTGAGGAATTACCAAACTTTCTGCGCAACTCACCATATCCAATGACATAATAGCTATCTCACTTGCATGACGCTTACCATTAGGTTTGGGAATTCCTGTGTTAATAAAACTACAATTTTATTGGCAGTCCTATTCATGGTGACATCTGTGTGATTAGTTCGCGAGAAAAGAATAATATTCAATGTTTTGTCATTTATTGTGCAGTTTGTATTTCACGTTTTATTACGTAATATTTAAGTGTTCATGCATTTGAAATTTTCAAAAAAATAGAACGATCTTCAATTGTAATCTGAACGTTCATGTATAATAAACTTATGCATATATCCTATAATTTCTAAACTAAAATACAGATCGACATTTACCCACTCAGAGACTACTCAATAACTAAATATTGCTGACATAATTTTAGCGCCTGCGTAAGGTTTGTGTATACTGTGATTGGCGAAAAAGGCAGCCTCACCTGACACCACCATATATGCATCGCCAATAGTTTCTACTTTGTACACGTCGTAAAGGTCGATGCGTCGATCGAAGGTTGTATACACATGGTTCAGCAATTCCACGACCTGCATCGGAGAACTATCCGAGCAAATACGAGTAAAACCGACAATATCCGAAAGGAAAATGGTCGCTTCTGAGAAAGATTCGGCAGTGACAGTTGAGTTCTGCATCAACTGCCGAGCAATCGACTTCGGCATCAAAGAGTAAAGAATGGTACTGACACGTTTCCGTTCTTTATTTAGCGCCTTGGTTTGTTTGGCCAACGTAAGGGCGTAGTTTTGAGTGTTGCCTGTCAGAACTTCCACAGCCTTGATGATAATGCCACACATTGTCAAGACCACGGCCATGGTACCTATGCGGACACCTAGTCTTGTATCGACTACGTTTATCCGTTCTTCCAGTTTGAAGACTATTATTTCGGTCATACGACGCTGACTGTCCTTCAAAGTGTCGATGTAAATGGTCATGTTACTAAACCACCAGTTACCATCCTCCCATGATGCATCTCTCGACTGGTTATTCAGTTGAATGGGTCTTCTTAGTTTCGCAATCGTGCTTCGAAAATCGTATGGTAACTGTTGCACCTTGTTTTCTAATAATTCACTATATAAATTGGTTGGTAGTTATTACGTTGGACAATTAATTAATTAATGCAAGTTTTATATTAGAAATATATGTATAGAATGGAACTTACACCAGTGTCTGAGTCTGATTGCATCCATTTTCCCTGTTAAATGTGTCTATGAAGTAGCGCGTATCTTCTGGAAACGAACCGCTACTTATGAGTGATTCGCTAATAATGATAACATTTACTAATGACAATGACCACAGTTCCTCAACTAACTATAGTGAAGCTTTACATGACACTTTATGTCACGTGCACAGCGCATGCGCATGCATAGACGCAGTGTATAATTCTTTATATTTAATTTTCTGATTATATTTTCATGCCAATCTTCGTTTTGGGTGAAACATAAACGAAATACAGTACCATTAGATTGTTATTCGTTTAGTTTTTATGACCAAATACTAGTACTTAAAACTGGCTTGCACTGGCAATTCCCCGCCAATAATCATATATATCTTCATGGTTGGAGTGTCAAATCAGCAAGATATAGGTAATTATTTAGGTAATTCAAAATTCAAATTTATTTACTTTGCATGTATGTTATGTTTGTATTTGAAGTTTTAATTTCAAAGTGTGTCTTGTAATTTTAATACATACATGTACACTTACAAAAAAATATCCAAGAAAATGTATTCTATAACTTGGACAAAATAAATCTCTAGTTGGGGTCCCTAGTCAAAAATGTTCTCTTTCTTCGAGAATTCACAAATAATGTATTCACTTTTGTGTTTACACTCTGAATTATTTATTATTGTGCAGTCATTTACGAAAGTCCCTTTTTTCTGTTAACTCTCAACTTATTTCCGAGGACAGAAGGCTGAATTTGAATGTGAACTTCGCTGTATGTTGGCTCCAGGGATTACACGTCAGAGAAGTAGACAAAACGAAAACTATATAACAATAGAGAACTATGGAGCTTCAGCTGTCGGTGATAAAAGCTAAGGATATTTTGTATAATTGTATGGTATATATTAAACTATTTGGAACGACACTGTGTAGGTGAAAAAAACACACTTGATGTTTGATGTTTAGCGCCCATAACAGTGTATGGTGGATACTGTGTGTAATAAGCGACATAGATTCGTGAAGTCATTCTTGAGGTCTCTCTTCCCTAAAGTACAAAATAATGAGGGAATCCTGTACCAAGTCACTCTGGTGTTGCATGGCAACGATTTACGGGAAATCCCATCAATGACTCGTTAGCTAGATGTGCTTGTTATGAATAACTTTAGATCAAGACTAATTAAGTGTGTAGTAGTGCTTCGAGAACATTTAAAATATCAAGTTGAAGCTCAGTTAGGGTAGCAACAGGGGAAAACAAGATAAACACATTCTGTGATTCAGTTATTCTCTAAAAGTTACTAAACATGTCACAATCTATACATAATCTGAAATATATTGCCAAATACGGCAGTGTACATCTGAAATATATTGCCAAATACGGCAGTGTACATCTGAAATATATTGCCAAATACGGCAGTGTACATCTGAAATATATTGCCAAATACGGCAGTGTACATCTGAAATATATTGCCAAATACGGCAGTGTACATCTGAAATATATTGCCAAATACGGCAGTGTACATCTGAAATATATTGCCAAATACGGCAGTGTACATGCTTATTTCGCTACTGTGCTTTAATTCTTACTATTCCGATTTTTGAAAAAAACGTTGTTAACACTTTCTTGAGTCGCGCGAATGATCTGTGTATTGCACACGACGTCCATGAAACTCCTGGCCAGGCAATCGCGCCTATTTTATCTGCATTTGTTTTCTAGCCACGACCGAAGTGTGATGATGATTAACGTTTTTATACTCAATTTTCAGACAATTCTAAGTTGAACATATTTGGCAATAACTGTAGGGCATTAGCAATGGTGCAATTCGTCTGCTATCACATAGTACAGTATATTTTGGCTAATCTACCATTGACACAATATTAGACACTTTCTACTACATTGGTGCTATTTTACGAATAATAATTACTGGTGGAGAAAGTGCGCAAAGAAATGCAGTTTTACAGGAAAACTATCAAATTTGCTACCTAATTTATAGCAAAGTAACTATAACTGATTTGCATAATGTTTAGCACGCACGCTTGGAACGAACGGTTTGGATGTGGCACGTTTTGGGCCGTATCATTATCCGAGAGGGGGTGGAGAATGCAGGCGAAGATACTAACGTACTAGCAGTAGAATTATAAAGATTGGGGTAATGAAAATAATACAGTAAATAACAAATTGTAGACATTAATTTAAAGTGTTTAATTTAATAGCTCATTGACTTTCTTAAATGCATGGTGCACAGCAGTTGCTAAATTACGCAGGAGTTCACAAAAATGTTTGGGGTGGGGATTTAATATTAAATATAATCAAACCTATATCATGTTCGTCTTTCTTGGTGTTCCATCATACGTTGTTAAGTGCACACTAGTATGAAATCGAAAGTCAACACTACAAATTCAGACAAGCAGCCTCTCAGCTGAGATAGCTCCGCTGTTAGCAATGCACATTACAATTAAAGAACTGAAGATATCATTAGAAAATGAACAATATATATGTAACAAGTCATTGAAAATGACACAGTCCCCGTTAAATTTTTGAAAGTTCTCTTTGTGCTTGTCATATTAAAGCGGGGGTGGTTGTCGCGAGCGTGTCCTTGAAACTTGAGTTCCAAGTGGCGTATACAACAGATTGTTTATTTACATCAAAACACGTGTTCCGTGTAGTAGTAATATGGCCAAAAATAAAAACAGTCGTTAATCGGCCAACTTTGATCTGATTATGAAACACACTGATATGTATGATGTATGTGCCAAATACGAATGAAAATGGTACATAAATTGTGGAAATATAGTAGTAAGGCCAAAAAGTCAGATTGCTGTCAATCTGCCATCCTTGACCAGATTTTGAAACAAATTGTCATGGACATGCATCCTAACATGTATAAAGTACATGTATGTGCCAAATTTGAATGAAAACTGACAGAGCACTTCCAAGATACCGCATAAAAAAACAAAACAAGATGCCTGCCAGTCGACCATCTTTGATCCAATTGTGAAATAAATCGTCATGGACATGTATCCTAACATGTATGATCGATGTACTAAATTTAATGAAAACTGACAAAGCATGTCCAAAATACAACATTTCAAAAAACAAGATGGCTGCCAGTCGGCCATTTTGAATCGAATCGCTAAACCACTGCATGTGCATATGTCCCAGATAAAGTACTAGGCACATGCAAAGAATGAACGGAATCGGTCCAAGGGATTCTGAGATATGACTCCGGACGGACGCACAGACGCACGGACGGAGACCGAATTAAAAAAGCAACGGGACAAATCTGAAAGAAGTCCACACGTAGTACGTATATATGTAATATAAAAGCAATCGGACTTGCGGTTTTCAACAAGAAGTCGAAAATATCACTTTTTACCAAAAATGACAAAAATATTCACCAAAATTCGAGAATTAAAGATATCATTACAAAATGAACAAATCTGAGAGAGGTCCACATGTAGTACCTATATATGTAATATAAAAGCAATTGGACTTGCTGTTTTTAACAAGAAGTCGAAAATATCACTTTTCACCAAAAATGACAAAAATAATCATCAAAATTAAATAATTGAAGATTTCACAACAAAATTAACAAATCTGAAAAAGGTCCACATGTATTACCTATATATGTATTATAAAAGCAATCGAACTTGCGGTTTTCAACAAGAAGTCGAAAATATCACTTTTTACCAAAAATTACAAAATTATTCACCAAAATTAGAGAATTAAAGATATCATTACAAAATGAACAAATCTGAGAGAGGTCCACATGTAGTACCTATATATGTAATATAAAAGCAATTGGACTTGCGTTTCTTAACAATAAGTCGAAAATATCACTTTTTACCATAAATGACAAAAATACTCACCAAAATTAGAGAATTGAAGATATCATCATGAAATGAACAAATCTGAGAGAGGTCTACCCAAGGTACATATACACCAAGTATCAAAGCATTCAGGCTTGTAGTTTTCAAGAAGAAGCCGAAAAAGTAAAACATTGACACAGACAACGACGGACGGCGACGAACACTCACTCATATGATAAGCTCCGCTCAACAAAGTCAACAGCGGCGCTAAAAAGCTAACTATACAGAAGCAAATGCTGAATGAAAAATCGTAAAAGTTGAAAATGGGAAAAATTGTATGATGACATCATATTTCCGAAAAAAAGAACTATTTCCGAGTAAAAAATCTTGAGGGGTTTTTCCACCTCACCAGACATGTACGACTTTCCGCAAAGCTTTACCGTCCTCTCATAAAAACTTTATGAAGTTACTACACCAAATACTAACCCACACACTTGTATCCAAAATGCCGCTGTGTATTTATTCAGCCATTCATGCAAAGTTGATCACATGACACATATACTTGTACTACCGGGTAGCTTCCAGTTAAAGCTTGTATTCATTTCAAAATTTTGTTGAGCACATTTAAAATAATCAAATGCATTGTTTTAAAATGTCAGAGATCTTTGCTCAGCTGAAAAGTTAATATTAGTTCCCTAGTGTATGTGATAAAATTTAATAAATCAAATGGTCAAAAACCTTTTTCAGTTTGCATGCCACTACTGTGAAATCATCGTTTGATATTCTTAATGCTTGGAGAACTGAATTTAAAAACTTACTTTTTTACTAACCATTACCTAATGTAGTTTTAAACTTTTTAATAACAACATTTTTAATAGTTTTTGTACAATGCACTGATAATAGCTGGAAAATTAAATTTTTAAAAATTTATCTCCTAGCTGATGTTGTTTCTTATATGTACATAAATGTCTCAAACATTTACCATGAGTGTTCATTTAGTATCACAATAAGAATTTTGTCTCAGGATTACATGAATTAAAAAAAAATTAAAAAATTGACAAAAACACAGTTCATACTACTTTAATGACTTGAATATTAAAGAAACACTTCTCTTTATAAAAACATGATCAAGATGAATTTAACAAAAAACTTTAAAAATCTCAAACATTGTAATAAACACATGTTAACTATTAATTTAAAAAAATCTCTTCAAAATCTAGAAATGTATAAAAATAACAAAAACTACAAATTCTCACAGATTAATATATATATCACCTTGTTGTGATCTTCAAAAATGGGCAGTATGAATAAAAAATAGGCAGTGCTGAAAGAACAATGACTAGCAAATAACAGACAACTTCTTAACTGTTATTGCTATTTTTATCACAATAAATAAGTAAAAAAATTATCTACCGTGTACACAATCTGTAAGGATTTATACTACAAATGAAAACAATTAGAAACTGATGAGATGGTAAACGATGGCAAAGTGATCCATGCGGCAATATTATTTTCTTGCATACCGCCCAACAAATGTAGTTGCAAATGTATAGATTCCATCCAGATCATGTGACTTCAGAGAATTCAAAATAGCCAGTTCTCTAGTTCTAGGTGTTGAATGTGTCTGACAAGAAATTGAATATAATCAGCATCAGAACAAATAAGATAAACTGAGACATTAAAATTCAATGTACATAATCATGTTCTTACAAAACCGATTGGAGTGCTTTTCAATAACCTGTCAATCCATGCGCTTTTCATAGTGATCAAGTGATCAGTAGACTGACATATCACCTGTATAACACTGGTGATGTAACTATTTTTCAGGCCATTCATTAATTCCTACGAATCCAAACATGTCTTTTTGTGTAAATATAGACTATTCGTTTGGAGACTACAAATAAAGGCCATACTTTTATTCACAAGACTGTTGGGAGGGGTGCGGTGACTCTGTGCTTTCTACACATGCCTGGACACCACAGGTCTAAGCAGCATTTCTGCTTTTTCTTTCTAAATAATGAAAACTCAGTTACAGTAAAAGATGTATAAGGAATCCAGTGGAGAATTTAAGAAATATACTATTATAGAAGTGATCTTTTCATTACAAATACCTGATTAAGTTCTTGTTGCTTTTTCACAAACATCTGTAAAGCTGGATGCAATAAAACAGAGAAACTGGCATTGGCTCTCCGTGACGACGGCAGATATGTCTCAATCGCAGAGAGTGTGCTCTGAAACTTGGCATTCTTAAACGCCTTAGACTGCCACAGAGCGTTGCAGACACATAAGACATAGTTGTTCATAATAGGTATCTTCTCCTTCAAAATATCCTATTCACAAAAGATAATGCATGATCCAACCTTTACATTCATGACTCATTCATGGGTTATTGTTAAGGCAGAAGCTATTTAGCAGCCATCACTGAGTTCTAAACAACATGTACATTTATATCCAAATAATCGAAACATATGCATAAAAAGTACACATAATTTCTTTGCTTATCAATCACCCTCCAAACACAAAACAAAAATTTGCAAATTCCAAATGATTTTTTTTCATTTGTTAAAACACAATTTTGTGAAAGTAACCTCAGAGATATTTTTACAGCTACAAAGTTTCATGATTTTCACTTTAAACTCAGGAAAGTCACAAAGATTTTTCTCTCACAAGATTAAAATTAATAAAGAGAGATACTCACCACATACTCAGCTTGAGATTCCTTCATCAAATTGACCTCATCACTGTATCTGAAAAGATATAATAAATTCAAGAGTAAAGTATTAAGACAAATACTCCTATGGTATACAGTCACTGGGCTGATATGCACTACACTATACAAAACAAATTTGCGTTGGTTA